TCCCCTAAATTTTCAGCTTCCTAGCTTTTGTGGTTCCCGAGTTGAAAGTTGCGAACAAGTTGCTGCAGACACACACACACACACACGAACACACACACACAGACAGCCCCGTGACAATATGCGTTTTGTACTGCTGTTACACAGCACAAAACGCATAAAAAGTATTCTGACAAAATTTCAGCTGCAGTTTCCCGGCTAGTTTTCGAATTAGCACAGAGCCAACTTTGAACTTTGACGTGACCGCAAACGCAGTAAAAGCACCCGACAGTTGAATTTGAAATTTTTAGCTCAAACATGCACAGAGAATATCTCCACAAAGTTTCAGCTTTCCACTTTGTCCGGATTACAAAATCGTTTCCTGCCAAAGAAATTTGCAAGGTATTTTCGGGGGTCCATGCGCGAAAACTAGACTTTATGAATTATGATTTTAAAACAGGAGGGTGACGCACGGGGTAGGAATATGTTCCCAAAACTTCAGCCGCTCCTAGCTGATTGCTGTTTGAAAGTGGGTAACAAAGTTCACTCGTTTCTGAACATACATACATAAATACATACATATACACACACAGGCACAACCTCTTGACAATATGCGTTTTTGCTCACTGTAACATAGCGCTGCGCAGTAAAAGCGCATAAAAAATTAATAAAAGTTTATGAAAAGAAAAAATGAACGACAGGTACCTTTGATAAGGCCTCCAAGAAACAATCTTTTGTGAGTACCGTCATGAAAACATTGCGATTGCTTTGCAGTATAGTTTTCAGCAGCCGTGCTGCGTCTTCGGCCTTTGGTCGCAACTGTAATATAATTTCGTGGATGAAACTACTAATCAGTTCACTGTTTCTAAGATGCAAGGGAACAATTTCTGTAAGTATTTATTACAGCGTTTTACAATAACAGTAGCTGTGCAACAAACCTCAGCAACGCAAATTTTGAGCTGTTCGGCAAGTGCCAAATTCGGATCGTACTGGTTCAGCCTGCAACATTTCTCAGTCCAAGAAGATGTAATTTTTTTTCATTTTCTATGAAATCGAAATCACAATTCAAAAATTTTCGTCTTTACTACAACAAAATTTCACCATCTTCAGCTTCATTTCAGTTATTTCTTTTTGTTTTTTACAGTCCTTCAATGAAAGGCGGAAAAGCTTACGGATTGCTGACACTTGGTTTTGCAACAAATTCTGGGAAACGTGCATCAACATCGACCCTGAGTAACCATGAGGCGTAGAGCCAGCATGCGAACAGTTGTTCTGGTTTCTCAAATTCTATTGCCGATTCGCTTTGCAGCTCACCGATCACAGCGAATACATCATCGTTCAAGCCCTGGAACGCCAAAAAAAAGTCTGTTCTTCTAGTGATTTCATCTGCGCGAATAATAGTATAAAAGCGCTTCAAGAGACCACATTTAATCAAAAGCTT